TGTATTTGAATTTATATGTTATACCCATGACACAGGTGAAAATCCTAGTTTGGGGAAACGTGTTTTTAAATCAAATCAATAATGTAACATCAAGTCAAAGAAGTCAAAAGTCAAAAATCAATTATTCCAATTAGACCCATACAGGCACTTTTAAACATCAAACAAAATTTTGAAGATATTTTTTTTACTTGCAATAAACTAGTGCTTGACTGCGATCCCACCTGATGGTAAGCAGCGATGCAATCGTTGATGGTAAGACGCACTAGTTTATTAAGAGCCTATTCACTCTAGCCTTGAAGACACCTAAATTGTATTCGGACGGAAAGACTGCAGCCGGCAAACTGTTCCAATCCCTCGATGTACGCGATATAAATGACGAGGCAAAACGCTTAGTCCGGGCCGCAGGTGTCTCAACAACGTAGGGGTGGATATTCGCCGTACGCCGGGATGTCCGAACGTGAAATTGGGATGGCGGAATCAAATCGTGCAATTCCTGGGCACACTCTCCAAAATGCATCCTGCAGAAAACCGCAAGGCTGGCTACTCTGCGCCTGTGCTCGAGACTTTGAAGATTGGACCCAACCAAATCTGGATGGTGTAGATTCCGATGAAGGTGAACGAGCAAGAAAGTCCATGGTTACTCTTTTTAAATTAGTTTCACATACAGATACCAAGCAGGAAGCGATCAAGAAAGTGAAACAATACGAACTAGTCTCAAAGTATTTTCCTCTTACCATTCTTGACATTGAAGTCAATTAGGTACACAAAGCGACATTATCCTTCTACTTACCCTACTAGACGTTAAATAACTTCACGCCTTTTCCCCCTTAAGGTTAGATAGACAGAGGTTTAAAACGCAATAATGTAATACGGCAGTTTCCAACTAGTCAAATTCAATACTTTTATCCAATCGTCACAAACGATACTTCTCTATGAAATTTGTATGAAAAACTGAGTTATGACGTCATTACTCATTTTTGCGTCAAATAGCTTACTTATTTCTTAATAATTAGCTAAAAAATCTAAAACTTAGTGTGCCGATCGATCGATGAATAAAAGTATAGTTATTTTTCAATATTTTATTGTACTGAAACGTCGAATTATTTTTGACTGCACGGTTGGCGCGGTGGCTGGGCAACTGGCTGCCTTGCGACGTGTCGCAGGTTCGATTCCCGCACGAAACAAAACTTTGTGTGATCTACAAATTGTTGTTTCGGGTCTGGGTGTCATGTGTATGTGAATTTGTATGTTTTTAAACGCAGCCACGACACAGGAAAAATCCTAGGGTGGGTAGGCAACGTTTTTTTTTTAAAAAAGAAAAAAAAATGTTGACCTAGTAAACTAACCAATTGTAACTGTCCCAGCTCGTGCCAGGAGTGGAAGAAAGGAAGGAACGGGGAGGTTTTTAGTCAGTAAGAGTCTGACTCTCCCTCTTGCCGTACACAGAAGGAGAAACCATAGGATGATATTCTCCTCACACAAGAAAGGAAGGTCAGACAGTATTCGTTATTTCTTCTTCTCGAAGAAAACATATTTACCATATCCTTTCCCACCCCCAATCCCTCCTCAAACCCTAAATCTCCAAATCCGTCTCCATTTTAGGGATTAAAAAGGTCGGCAACGGTCTCGTAACTCCTGCGTTGCGGGTATCCATGGGCGGCACTGATTGCTTACCATCAGGTAATCCGTCTGCACGTTTGCCGATCTATTACTAATCCCAACATAAAAAAAAATGTAATAGGTCGGAATACGAGCAAAAGTATTACCTGATGGTAAGCAATCAGCGCCGCCCACGGACACTCGCAACGTCAAAGGAGTTACGCCTGCATTGCCGGCCTTTTAAAAAGCACCTTTCTTGAAGGTCGAATCGGTTCGGAAATACCACTGACGAAAGATAATTCCAAAGTTTTGCCGGGCCAGCAAACGTTTTGCGACTATTTGACTGGACGAAAGTATTTAAAAAAAAACTAAGTAAAAATTTGACTTAATCAATTTTATGATATAAGTATGCACCTCATATTGAGCAAATAGCTTCACTAAGAGGACTGACCGACAGACTGACACGATATCTTCAAAGTTTTGTTTTGTTTTGACGTTCAAAAATGCCTGTAAAGGTCTAATTGGAATAAATGATTTTTGACTTTTGACTTTTTTGACTTTTGATCTACTTAGTTAATTTTCAAGAAACAATCTGCTATTGGCGCTTGTTTATTACAAGACATTTACACACAGTCCAGTATTAAATACAATTAAACTATCGATTCAGACAATTAAAAAAATTAGTATTGAATTTGCCTAGTGTCGTCATTTCATTATCGCTATCGCGTAGGAACAATCGATAAAACGGCTACATAGAAAAAATGATTTTTCTCAAACGAAAGTAGCCTATGCTCTCAAAAGAGAAAAATGGAAACAAAAAACAAAGAGTTCAACCAGAAGACCAGTCAAAATAGATTTTTTAAGATGGTCACGCACCCCGTCACGAATTCTACACATCGTGAAGTTAAATCTAGATGGCTAATTTTGTGTTTGACTTTAAAAAATGCCTATAGTGGTGTATTTAAAGAAAAATAATTTCAACCAATTTCATCAATGTCGGTTCAGTAGTTTAGTTTAGCGTAAAACGACTGACAGAATAACCTTCGCATTTTTTTAAACAGTGCAAATAAATTTAAGTTTTATGTCTGTTTTAAAAAATATTTAATAATCAGGAAGCCCTTTACAAAACTTGAATTCAAGTCTATCATACATACATATAAATAAACGACAATGTTTGTATGTCTGAACGCTGTGCACTCCGAAACTGCTGACCGTAATTTGATGGCACTTCCGTAAGGATGAAAAGAAGGAGAATTCTAAAAATTTTTCACTGATACATAGCTACAATGTTCCAAGTGTTATATCTAAACTAATATTATAAATGCGAAAGTAACTCTGTCTGTCTGTCTTTTCTTCACGCCTAAACTACTGAACCTATTTGTGTGAAATTTGGTACAGACATAGTTTGGAACTCGAGTAAGGACATAGGATAGTTTTTAAATCAAAAATCTGCAGGTAGTCCCTAATCCAGGCGAACGGAGTCGCGGGTAAAAGCTAGTAGTTTATAAATGATGCTTGTTTTGTGTATTTTAGTCGAGCTATCGCTTTAAATGCTGTTGTTTTTAAAATCCCGCGATACATTATTTTTATTCGCGTGCCAAGCTGCGGGCAGAAGCTAGTACTTTATAAAGGTCAATAAATTGTGCTTTTAATTTTTGTAATTCGATTTTAAATTAATGTTTTTTTGTGATATGTGGTGATGGCTCAAAGATTAAGACACTCGCTTCTGACGTGTGAGTGTGCATGTTCAAACTATGGCAAGTACCAATGTGACTTTTACTGAGTTATAATATGTACTTTCTATGATTATTTAGACACCACTGACATACGGTGAAGGAGAACATCGTGAGGAAATCTGGACTTAAAATTTCTAATTATAAATTTGAAATCGCCAAACCACCTTGAGCTAGTTGTGATTAATGCTTAATCCTTCTCATTGTGAGAAGAGGCCTTTTCAAAGATTAGCAACACTTTGAACTTACAGACAGTCACAAATTGTAAAAAGTGTAGTTTTTGTGTAGTACCGAATAACTGTTATTTAAATATCACAAACAGACACTACACCAATTTTATTTATACATAAAAGAGAAAATGTATAAATATAAAGTTAGCAAAAATCTATTACGCAGATAATATAATCTTTTTTTAAGTATAAATAAACAATATGTAATATATATAATTTAAAATGAATTTGTTCCAAATACAAAATTTAAAAAAAATGTGTAGTTACATGACAATAAATAATATAATGATCGCGTAAAAACTACATCATCATCTTCCTGCCCTTGTCCCGTTTTATTTGGGGTCGGCGCAATATGTTTTTTTCTTCCATTCTGTCCTGTCACCCGTCACGCTATCACTAACTCCTCTGTCTTCCATATCATTTCTCACACAATCCATCCATATTTTCTTTGGTCTTCCTCTCCCTCTCCATCCATCCATATTTATACTCATGGATTTTTTTGTGACATTCGTTTCATCCCTCTGGCCATACCAAGACAAACGGTTCCCTTTCAACTTTTCAATCACTGGCGCCACTTTCAAACTTCCTCTAATATACTCATTTCTCACTTTATCTATTCTCGTCACACCACACATCCATCTCAACATTCTCATCTCTGCTACATGCAATCGCTTTTCATCCGTCTTTTTCAGAGCCCAACATTCTGACCCATACAGTAGGACAGGCCTTATCACGGAAATAAAGAATAAAAAAAAAATTTTAGATACTTAATATGTTATGAAAGAAGGTTAAATTAATATTTGAAATTTAATTTTTAATACAATTTTTGTGTGTGGTACTTGTCCACAAAGAAGTCATTGAATGACAGAAGAAATAAATAATTTTTATTATTGAATGACAGATGATTTTAAATATTTGTTTCATTATTGTAAAAGACTATTAGAATATAGATAGATAGATAATTTGGGAAACCAATTTAAAATGTCGAATGTTCGCAGAAAATCCATTTTTAGTTGTTTTCGAAAATCCTAAATCTTATCAATATATGTATAACTCCGCCCCTAAGACGACCCACTGACCAAAATTCTAAATTAATAAACGCATATAGAGAAAACTGCGCATAAAAACCTTATGGCTGATTTTTCAATGATCAGATAAAAATTACCTGGGGAATAATTATGATGCTATCTCGTCAAAATGTTTGTATAAGACAGTGACGGCAACAATTTTATTCCTCAGATAACATTTATCTGACTATTGAAAAATCAGTCTTTAGATGAATTAATTACGTATGCGTAAACAAAGGAATAATGTTGATACAATTTTTAAAAGTACCCGCAGTAAGCAAAATAACCAATTTAAGAAACTTTTTCTAAAAATAAAACACAAAAAATAAATTAAAACTGTTAAAAACTAAAATTCTAAAAATAAAACTTACCAATTTTTTTATGTAATAAAAACAATAGGTATGGCACAAGAAGACGTGAAAAAATCCAAAAAAACAAATCCACACGCGGCACTGAGAAAATATATTATAAATTTACAATCACATTTAAAAACACAATCGAATTATTAAAAAAAAAAGAAAATCGTTTGAATTAAAACTATAACTCGACAAAGTATAATATTTCAAAATAAAAAATTCAAACGTATTTTATTTTATTTATTTTTAGTTTTAGCTATCGCATCCGTTCGTTCGGTACGACAGCGCACTTCGGAATGTTGATGCAGCAATTTAATCGCTGTAACATTATTGATCATCTAGCGAAGTTTTATGTCATTATAATAATTCTAGGGTAAACTCAGCGCCTTCGCAAGGCTTAAAGGGTCCAATTAAAGGTTTTTCAATAACCAATTACTAAAAAAATATGTTTTTATTGTTTTTTTTCGGATCTATGAGTCAAAAAACGATCGTTGTTTTCCAAGGCTAAGTTTATGTTGTAATTCTGTTTTAAAATCGACTTGTTTTATTTTGATTGGATTGAATATTGAATTAAAATAATTTCGTCTACATTACAGACATATAAAGTACCCATTGTGATATGCTATATGGATATAGATTATAATCGATATCCATATACTAATATTATAAAGAGGTAAAATTTGTAAGTTTGTATATAGGAGGTAATCTATGGAACCGCTGGTTGGATTTTCAAAATTCTTTCACTGATCTATAGCTACAATGTTCCTGAGTGTTATAGACATCACGCTACGATCAATAGGGACCGAGCAGAGGCTGATACCACGCGGCAGTAGGTCGTAGTAAACTTTCTGATTCGTTCAGTAGTTTTTGGTTTAAAGAGTTACAAACATATAAACAGTCTTATAAACTACTTTTACTATACTATTTTATTTATATTTATAATATTATAAAGCTGAAGAGTTTGTTTGTTTAAACGCGCTAATCTCCGAAACTATTGGATAAAATTGAAAAAATATTTTTTTATTTGTCCTTTTACCGCTACGATCTGGAGGAGCAGAGAAGCGGGTGAATCCGCACGAGAGTAGCTAATAATACATATAAACTTTCCTCTTTAATCACTCTATCTATAAAAAAAAACCGCATCAAAATCAGTCGCGTAGTTTTAAAGATTTAAGCGTACATAGGGATATAGGGACAGAAAAAGCGACTTTTTTTATACTATGTAGTGATTGCCTAATGTTTATATAACAAATATTATTTTTCAGGGCGTAATACAGACACAATCAGGGTTGCCAATGCATTAAAGTGCAAAAGTCAAATCATTTATTTCAATTAGACTATCAGAGCCATTTTTAATAGCAAACAAAATAATAAAATATAGGAAGATAAAAAGTGTCAGTCTGTCAGTCTGTTCTCTTGTGAAGCTATTTGCTCGTTCCAAAGTGTAGATTCCTATGGAGAAGGACGAGCAAGAAACTCCATGGTTACTCTTTTTCAATCAGTTTCACATACAGATTCTTTGGTACAATATTTAGTCGGTTCGGTCGAGAAAGGACAACATATTTAGACAGCCTGGAGATGACCAGTCCCAAAAGGCGGCGTCCGTTCACGAACATGACACGTACACCAGCACCGCCCAACTCAACCATGTTATAGGGAATCGAGCGATCCAGTGCTTGCGGCTGCAATACAGAACAAGAGAAGGAACGGGGTGGGTTTTAGCTAGTAAGAGTCTGACAGTCCCTCTCACTCCCATTCAGGGCGGGAGAAGCATTCATCTGATGTTTTTTTCCCCTCGACAAAAAAAAGTATTTATTTTATTTTTAATTTTTAAAAAACGTTGCCTTACATTAGGATCTCCAAGAGTTCACCTGTGTCGTGGGTGCGGTTACAAACATACAATTTCACATACACATGACACCCAGACCCGGAACAACAATTTGTGGATCACACAAAGAGTTGTTCCGTGCGGGAATCGAACCCGCGACACGTTGCACGGTAGTCAGTTGCCCGGCCGTGGCCCGGGCACCAACCGTGCAGTATGTGGATAAAAAGCCAGGTTATCTCCTATCTGCATACCAAACTACATCCAAATCGGTGAAGCCGTTTTTGCGTTTGAATATAGCAAACATTATAATATTAGTAGGATTTTTACCAAACTTCGGCACGAATGGGTTGGCTCGACCGCAGTGATACCACGGCCTCATAGAAAACTGGTTTGAAACAACTACAGCGTTGTGTTTCGCCGTGTGAGTGAGGTTACCGGAGGTCCAATCCCTTGGCCTCTCCCAATACTTAAACATTCGAAACCCTAATCCTAAAAGACCAGCAACGCATTAGTAACTTCATTGATATTGCGAATGTCCATGGGCGGCGAAGATTGCTTGCTTACCAGCATGTAATCCGTCAGCTCGTTTGCCGACCTATCCCATATATTTTTTTCCATAGAAATATTCTAAAGTGTACGTGGGCGAAGTCAGGCGTCCAACTAGTATATAAAAGGTCGGTTTTCGTAGTTGCAATGGTCGATACATGCAAATAACAGGTTTTTTGTATCGATGTCAAGGTCGTCAGTTCGAATCTTGTTTCGTGACAAAATATTTGGGTTGTATATAAAATTATTATAATAAATAGATTCGGTTTTCTGATTTTTTTATTGGATCTGTAGTTGTTAATGTGGATATTTAAGACGGAGTTTAGATTCGAATCCCAGTTAACGTAGAAAGCATGGTACCACTAGCTTTTGCCCGCGACTCTGCTCACGTGGAATAGTGACTTCCTGCAGAATTTTGGTATAAAAACTATCCTATATCCTTTCTCGAGTTCCAAACTATGTCTGTACCAAATTTCACAGAAATCGGGTTGTTTAGGAGTAAAGAAAAGACAGGGAGACAGACAGACAGACGGAGTTAGGTACTTTCGCATTTGTAATATTAGTAAAGATTGCGTATCTTGGTTGATTCAGATCTAGAGATAGGTAGGTTAACAGTGAATCAATATTGTTTTTTACTTTTGCGTTTTGGCGATGTTTTAGTTTTAAGGACATGGTGGTTTTATCAAGGAAAACTGGTGAGGAAACCTGGGCTTTATCTTATAAATATATAAAAATGGATCGCAAAATGTGTTGGTAAGCGCATAACTCAACAACGCCTGGACCAATTTTACTAATTCGTCTTTTTTTGTTATGTTTGCTATTGTCAGGAGAAGGTTCTTATCAAAGAAAATATTAGAAAAGTAGAGGGGATGATTAGGAAAAGGTGACCCTTTGATAGCTAGATAGTTGGACCCTTGCGAAGCGGGGATGGGCCGCTAGTAATTTATAATTAAGCCTTGAGCAAGCGTGGTAGTTAATGCTAAAACTTTCTCCGTGTGAGAAGAGGCCTTTGCTTGGCAGTGGACACTTATACAAGCTGATGATGTATGTGGAATAATGATGGTTTTTAAATGTGACATATACTTAAAGACAGTTTCCAAAGCAAAATCGAAATACATAATTTATTTCAATTAGACCCTTACAGGCTTTTTTATTATCAAACAAAACTTAAAGTAAATAAGTGTCAGTCTGTCGGACACTCCTCTTAGTTATTTTAATAATAGTTAGTGTTTTGGATTCAAATATCGTACAGAATAACTATTTCTTAAAAACAATTTTTTGATCCGTGTCTGGGTGTGTTTTGAAATTCATGTGAACACGTCTGCGTCATAAGAAAATCCTAGTATGGTGGCAATGTTTAAAAAAAACATATTTTACTAATGAAATACTTACTAGAAGAATTTCTTCATGTGTTCTTCATTTGTTCTTCAAGTGTAGGAGAGCCATGCTTCGGCACGAACAGGTCGGCTCGACCGGAAAGAAAAAACGTTGCCCCACCCTAGGATTATCTCCTGTGTCGTAAGTGCGTTTACAAACATACAATATCACAAACATAAGACACCCAGACCCGGAACAACAATTTGTGGATCACACAACGAGTTGTTCCGTACGGGAATCGAATCCGCGACACGCTGCGCGGCAGCCATTGGCCCAGCCACCGCGCCAATCGTAAAAGGTTCAGGCCTATTACAGAGTGTTGCTGTCCCGAAATATGTAGTTCCTCACTCGGGTACCTGATACCCGCGTCAAGAATCGCGGTATTGTGTAAATTATTGTTCTTTCACCTCTGTCGTCACCACAAACTTAATTTCTCAAGACTGTAAACAGAATTATTATACATAAATATCGCAATTTAAATAAGAGCAGAATAGTTTTCAAGGTTTAAAATAGTGTGCGTGCAATTATAAGCATGATCGCGTTTCGTCCGGCTTGTGGACAGGGCCGGACTGTTAATTTGTAGGGCCCCAACGCAAAGTTGGGGCCCCCTCATTCACATCATTAGTCTATAAGTGCCCACTGCTGAGCAAAGGCCTCTTCTCATACGGAGAAGGTTTGAGCATAACACAAAATTTTAATAAGTTTATTAGTGTAAAGTGTTTTTATGAATGTTGGCATTTTCTCATTATTTTGATGTATGTAGAAATGTTTGTCATCATCATTATATCAGCCAATAAGTGCCCACTGCTGAGCAAAGGCCTCTTCTCACACGGAGAAGGTATTAGCATTAACCACCACGCTTGTTCAATGCGTGTTGGCGATTTCAAACTTATAATTAGAAATTATAAGTCCAGGTTTCCTCACGATGTTTACCTTCACCGTATGTCAGTGGTGTCTAAATAATCATAGAAAGTACATATAACTCGGAAAAGTCACATTGGTACTTGCCAGGTTTCGAACACACACCCTCATGTATGAGAAGCGGGATCCTCCACCTCCGGCCCACAATGACGACCGGCGGTAATTAATAAGCGCCGCCAAATGTGTCGGATCGACCGAAGTGACACACACTCACAGACAACCAGGGTAAACAAGCAGGATGGTTTTTAGTCAGTAAAAAGTAAGTTTTAAGTGTGGGAGAGCCAAGCTTCGGCACGAATGGGTCGGCTCGACCGGAGTGATACCACGGCCTCACAGAATACCGGCGTGAAACAACCCACAGCGTTGTGTTTCGCCCTGTGAGTGAGGTTACCGGAAGCCCAATCCCTCCCCTTCCCCTATCCCTTCCCAATCCTTATATCCGCAACCCCCATCAACAAAAGGCCGGCAACGCACTCGTAACTCCTTTGGTGTTGCGGGTGTCCATGGGCGGCGCAGATTGCTTACCATCAGGTAATCCGTCTGCTCGATTGCCGACTTATACCATAAAAAAAACAAAAAAGAGTCTGACAGTCTTTCATCAAAGGAAGGTGAGACTTC